CCGATTGGGGAGGCACCAGTTGCCCACGGCCACTGATACCATGGCTTGTCCCCAACACATAGCTGCTACATGTCAAACCCCCTGTCTGTATCTGCTAGTTGGATAAAATGGTTCAGTGGGCCAGATCCAGGCTACAGGTCATACATTGCTGAGCTCTGTCTTACCTTATCACTGCTAGTAAAGACTACGCAAACCCAACTTACCTGTGGAGGACACCTGAGGTAGTATCTGATCCTCTCTAGGCTTCAGAGTTGAGCTTGTTAGTATGCCACTGTAACTCAAAGATACATGGGGCAACTAAGGTGATTTAGAAGGCATCATTTCTATCCAGTTGCTTTGTGGGCTGTAAAACATTGATGTAAATCCTAAAACTACAGAAAAAATAATACTAGTTCAGAGGAAGTATTTACTGCTTTGAAAAATCTTCAATATTAAGCAAGCACTGAAATGAAAATTGAGTTCTGATACAGCTTCTTTAGAGGGACTGTGACAAAACTTTCATTGATGCCACTGGGAGCTGGATCACGCTCATAATGCAGTATGCATTCCTTGAAGTTGCTTAGGATCTCATTTCCATATCAGGCATGACACAAAAGATTTTGGGGTGGGGGTGGGGGGCGGTATTTAATAGCAACTACCTGAAGAGTGGGCACAAAAAAGATGAAGCTAGACTGTTTTCAGTGGTGGCAGATGACAGAACAAGGAACAACGGTCTTAAGGTACAGCAAGGGAAGTTTAGGTTAGATATTAGGAAAAAACTTATGGTGACTGTTGATAGTGGGTGGCGGGGCACAATTTAAAGGTTTTGGTGGTATGCAGCAGGGTTCAGGCTAGGTACTCAAGAGGCAAAGGAGTTTTGAATTCTATTCTAGTAGTTTTAATGTTATGTTTTATGATGCTATGTAATAGCTGATGGAGACTGTCTTAAAAGACAGCTACACATGGAAAAAACTGGCAGGGGGTGTGTGGGGCTTTCTGGAGATTGGCCCCTGCCCCGATGGTGTAGGGCTGGTCCAGACTTGCCAGAGTTTGGCCTCTGATGGCTTGGACAGACCCCACGCTGTTGGGGCTGTGCACCAACTCTGGCATGCCCATACCACTGTGCCACAGATTGGCTCCCAGCCCTAGTGGCACAGGGATGGTCCCCAAGACCTGGCCCTCCAACCCCCACTGTCCCCATAGACTGACCTGCTTGCAGCTGCAGGAGCTGGTCCCACTACCCTGCCTGGCTGTATTGCCAGGTGTGTGTGCGCGTGTGCACACATGCACATGGTGCCCACGGACCCACAGCCCTGGATGTTTTTTCCCCATTACTTCCCTACTCCCTTGCTCCCTGTCTATAAATAAAATCGATGAACATTAAATCTGGGGGGATGAGTGCCCCCCCTCCATTTCCTCACCCCCCTCCATTCCCCTTCCCTGCAATGTGTCATCAATGGGAAAAACTTTCTCCCTAGGAGGGTAGTAAAGCACTGGAACAGGTTACCCAAAGAAGTTGTGGAACCTCCATCCTTGGAGGTTTTTAAGACTAGGGTAGACAAAGCCTTGGCTGGGATGATCTAGTTGGGGATAGACTTGGTTTGAGCAGGGGGTTGGACTAAATTGGTGGTTCTCAGCCTTTTTCACACTGGGACCCATTAGCATAATTATCAGCTTGTCATGACCCACAACTCCCAGGCCCTGACCCACACAGTCTTCTTTTCTCTCTGTCTCTGTCTCCCTCTCCCCTCTTCTGACTGCTGCATCTGGCTCCCTCCCTCCCTCTCTGGCTACTGGGGCTGCTCTCACAAGGCTGGGTGCTTGCCACACCCCCAGCTGTGAGCCAGCTCCATGCAGACTGCCAGCTTTCCAGCTTGCACAGGGAAACCACATGATTTCCTGGGACCTCCCCATGAATCTTTACGATGTTCTGTTCTTGCAATGTATGTCGCAGGGCACCTCAGTGCCTGCTCCTAGGGAGTAGAAACTGCCAGGGAGAGAGAGCCCAGCTGAGGGTTGCCAGGGTAACGAGCCCAGCTGCAGGTTGCCGGGGCAACTAAGGAGAGCCAGCTGCCTGTGGGAGGCAGGGCCTGGCCCTTATAAAGCCCAGGGCTGAGGCCAGGCTGGCAGTCTTCTGCCAGCAGCCAGAGGGACAGGAGCTCCTGCAGTTAGGATGGGAGGACAAGCCTAACAGCAAGTATAGCTTGTGAGAGCTCCAGAGGCTGGAGCAATGATATTGAGTTACAGCCAGGAGGCTTATGTTGTTATGGCCCAGTGCCTTATGTGTGAGTTATAGCCAGGAGGCTCGAGTTTATGTTCAGCTTTGATATTACACTGGTGGTTTGGGCGAGGCTGTAGGGGTTGGAGGAGGCCTCATAGGGGGCTCATGGTAAAGTGAGGACCCTGGCGCCAGTGAGGGCTCACTAGGCCCTGAGAGTTGCAGGGCAGAGTGAGGCTATAGGGGTTGGAGGAGTCCGCATAAAGGGCCCCACGGGAGTGTGGGGGCCCCAGTGCCTGAGGAGGGTGCAGTGTTCTCATAGGGACCTACAGAGGGTGGGAACCTAGCGCCAGTGAAGGTGCAGTATTTGCAGGTGGAACCCCAGTGACATGGGAACCCCCGTGCCAGTGAAGGCGCAGCTTGCAGTGAGGAGCGCAACCAGTGGGTTGCGGGCGGAGAACATAGACCCCGGGTTGTGTGCGGGGTATGTAGACCCCAGCCCCAGAGAGGGGCAACTTTGAGATGCCCCAGCGTGGGCACGATGAACCCCAGAGAGGGGGCCACATTATTAGGAAGCCCAGGACGGGCACAGCAAGCCCCAGAAAGGGGGCAGTGTTATTAGGAAGCCCCGTAGGGGCACGGCAAGCCCTAGAGAGGGGGCAATATTATTAGGAGGCCCAGTGCGGGCACAGTGAGCCTCTGAAGAAGGGCTAGTGCTGTGACAAACCCCGGAGCAGAGTAGAATGCTGCAGTTGCCCCGGTGAGAGGGGGTAGTGGCGCGGTGAGCCCTGGGAGAAGGGGGGAGAAGCGCAGTGGGCCCGAGAGTCAGGGGGCATTGCTGGGAAGTCCCCAGAGCAGGCGCAGAGAGCTCTGAACGGGGGGCTGTATTTGAGAAGCCCGAGTGCAGGCAACATTGCAGGGAGGGCCCCAGACAGGGGGCATCATTACAGAGAAGACCCCCAGGGAGGGGTGACATTCCAGGGGAGCCCAGAGTGGGCTCAGAGAGCCCAAGAGAGGGCAGCACAGCAGAGGAGGGCCAGAGAGTGGGCGAGAGTACATAGAGGAGGCCTGAGAGACGGGCTGTGTACGTATAGAAAGACATACCAGCGTCTATCCCATCAGCAAGGCTTGGGGCGGGGTATTAGGGGTTGGTAGGAGACACGCATAGCCCATAAGGCTCAGGGGGCCGG